ACAGAGGAGGAGATGAAAACTGTATCCTTCCACCGGGTTTTCATTGGCTGAGGATCCCTGTGAAAGCTGCATGTTCGCGCTGCAGGGAGCCATGTCAGAGTTAGCAGCTCTGCTTGGCTTTCCTAAATCTTACAGAGTTTAACCCACAGTTTAGCTGTTCTGCTGCAGCTTTTCTCATCTGCTTCATTCTCATAATGCTCAGGGCTGCGTTAAGAGGCTGACTGGGAGCAATCCCTGCTCACCTTCCCACACAGTTACCGGCTGAAGATGGGGGACATCAATTTATCGGCCAGCTGATTTTTCGGCTCCGATTTCCTTAATTTTGGGAGATCTGTGATTGGCTGATACTTACATGTGAAGCTGATCTAATCTATCTCAGCAAAGGTCTAAAAATCAACTGCTGTCCTGTATTGTTCTGCAGTGAGAGAGGTTTGACTGACAGACTGGCCCACCAGGTCACATGTGCAGTTAACAATAGTCACCAAACTGCTGCCAGCTCTGTGACTTAGTCACTATATTTAATGAATTTTCAGACAAAAGAAAATTGGTATCGGCCAAAATCAGAATCAGCAGGTCAGACTTTTTAAAGATCAGCGATCAGTGCACAGATTGTATCAATGTGGTTTAAAGATCACATTAACAAAACTGTTCCAGGTTGTTTTGGTAATAAAACTCCCTCCTGGTGTCTATTTTACTTGGAAAACACACTAATATTTTTGGGGGTTTATGGAATAAAATAACACATCAATCCTACTACAAGTCTGATATACACACATATACACACACACACACACACTGTGCAGCTTGTTCCTGTCTACCTTGACTCTGGTTCTCTAAGACATGGAGTTCCTGGAGGTTCTCCTCGAGGGTCTGAACCGCGTCCTCATGGTGCGAGGAGGAGGCCGAGAGGTCATCACCATCTACTCCTAAGAATAACTAAAAATAGCGAAGCACATAAGGGCATATTGCCATGGTTACCGCTTACCAGGCATTTGTTTTTGTTTTGTTTTTTGGGAGAGAAAAATCCCAATTTGTTTTTTATGAATGGTAAAGGGGTTTGCTGGGGGCTGACTGATGATCTGAAAGACATCGGTATGAAGGAGACGGCTGCAGGCTGTGGTGAGCACGGCGTGTCCACACCGACCCACAGAACCCCTGCTGAGAGAAGGAGTATAGACACACTTTATATCTGTCACTTCACCCCGTTCTGTTCTGTTCATGTGAAGCTTGTAGTTTGTTCATGTTCCTGGTGCGACCTGATGAAGAAACCTGCACACGGGTTAATGACAGCATGACGCAGAGCAGGGCCGAGGAGGAGAGTCAGCCCGCCACTGGGATTTCCCTGAAGTTTTAAAGACTCAACTAGTTTTAGCTGCTTTTACATTGTGGGTAAATATTGTTTCTCTTACACTCATGTCTGCATCCAGCGTCGTGTTCTGTCTTTCTCTATTTGACATGCTAAAGGACCAGCCAGTAGTATGCTTAACGCACACCTTTCACATTTCCATGAACGCTGTTGATTTTCTCCTTTTTTTTTTTCATACAGAAAATAGCCATAACTGAAGTCGAGCTGGTGCATATAGAATATCTGCAGAACTGCGTGGTTGAGAACAAGTATAAATATATATTTAGTTTTTTTGTTTTTAATGAAATGGCTGTTAGACAGCATGCATTTGTATAATATTGAAAAAAATTGGCTAGAAGTCATCGAAGTGGCCCTCGGGATTGTTTAGAAAAGCACAAGAAGTCCGGCGTGATTCGGTGCAACTCTCCCCATACTGTTCTGGTTACAGTACTGTTAACTTTGCACATCCTATATTTGAGCACTTAACTCACTTTTCTCTTGATTTTTTCAAGTCAACATTAATGTTTTTTCCAACACCACTAAATTGTTAACAGGAGCAAGCAGGCGGCAGGTGTTTGCGGTCTTTTTTTTTTATTAGTCACTTTTCTGTGTTTTTATGATGCTTTATAGAGCAGAAACCTTTGACTCTGAGTCCCAGACTGCATTAGATGAGTTATTGTACAGGAGGAAAAAGTGCCAAAAAAAATGACCACAAGGAAACTGTGGAAGTACGATTATTTAATGCAGCTCCGACCGTGGCTGTACTCGGTTTTACTCTGCTCTCTTTTTATTTAAACCTAGAAATTCACTTCAGCAGAGCTCAGTATTTCTACCCGGATTTTTTTTTTTTTTAATGCAACCTCCATGTGGATTTTTTTAAAGGGCATTTTCAACCCATGTAAGGTGTGCTGCAGAGAGAAGAACCCCTCACCCTGTGTACCTCCACAGTTTCTGCTCCTGATTAGCCATGCAGTATTTTGTTGAGCAGAGTCTCGTTCTCCTTACACTTCTGTGAAGGCGAATGCGACGTTTTTATCTCAGTCCTACATGTTACGTTGTCGTGGTGTTCAGGTGTTAAATGTATGCCTGTGAAACTTTCTAGTTTTTTTTTGTTTTGTTTTGTTTTTCTTTCTTTGTAGTGTTTGTTACGTCACACATGATCTTCTGTTACTATTAAGTGTTTATTTACAGGTGTGAATTTTACAAAAAGAGGAAAAGTTTGTGTGAAGGCAGCAGTGACCGTCTTCTATCCCCCCTCATTTTGTGTTTGTTCCAACATGCACAGCACAAAGAAACACAAAGATCCAGAGATTTTCTGGACTGAAGCTGTTTGGTTTCTGTTTCTACATGAAGTTGGATGTTACCGTTTGTTCTACATCTGTAGTAACCAAAGATGAAAAAAGAGATAAAAAAATTAAAATCCATACACATTGTTATAAGAAGTTTGGAAGTTGTAAAGATGAATAATAAAGAGGGGTTTTGTTCTTTGTAATGTGACTGTGGTGAATAAATGCAGCTGTGTGGGATAACCAGAGGACATTAAGAGGTAAATGAAGGTAAGCTCAGAACATTTTCAAATCCGTGATCCATGTGTGTTACACCAATTATCCAAATGTTATAAAGCTCAAAGAAAGTAGAAAATGTACAAAATTACTAATGACTGATCCTAGTGATAGTCACTCTGAAAAGGAGGAATGGATTTCAATATGAATTATCTACATATACAAGAAGCTGAAAATGAGCCTTTTTCAGTTAGTTTATGTTCCTTTATTGTACAGAAACTTTTGTTTAGGTTTATACAGCACTGAGTCCATTTATTAGTCTTTTTCTTTTTTCCATAGTGGTCCATATTTTTGTTGTATTTGTAGAAATGTTTCCAACCAAAGAGGAAAAAACTAAACATAAGAAGGTGAGTAACGGTTCCTTTTGTTAACTAGTAAAGCTGGTCAAACGTGTGTCCATTTTGTATGCAACTAATTGGTTTTTGATTACCGTTTCAGTCTAAACACACAAACTTGAGTCGGCATGCAGTAAACTTTAATCGTAGGTTGTTTTATATATATATATATATATATATATATATATATATATATAATTTTTTTTTAAAGAAAAGATCAAGATTATTCAATAATCCCTAAATATTAAAAGTAGTGACAAGTCAGTTTTATTGGTAAAACCGCAAGCTACCACAAGGGGGCAACCTTTCCCTTTTTAAGAATAAACCAAGCCTCATGCTGCAGGATGGAGCAAAAAGATGGTTTGTGTCCACTAAAGAACAAATCGGTAGGAAAAGTGCCTAGGTCGTTACTTACGACGAAGGCAGGTCACTTTCAGTAGAGGTGGACAACATGCATCAAACCAACATTTATTCACAAATTCTTTTTTTTCCCCCTGATACAGGTATGCAGATGTTTTGCACCATTAGTTTTGTTAGACTCAAAGAATAGTTTGTGTCTTGTGCTTAAGAATTTGATTAGATGTAATTGTTTTGTATTTATGAAAGACTGAAAAAAAGTCTACAACTACAAAATAAGATTTTTCTTGACAAGGCATGAATACTTTTGCACCTTCATAAAAATGGTCAAGCTTCTGAGCATGCGCAGTCTATGCAATGTATGTGACTGAAAAGGAACAGACTGGGTTGTTGAATTTACCCAGTCGTTATGTTGCATCAACAAAGTAAGTTTTAGTGACTTTAATAAGTAAACAAAACAGCTGAGCTGACTATGTTTGATATTTCAATATTAATTAATTTGGCTATAGGTCCATTTATTTAATTAAAGAATTCACTGAGGTCACAGTTTTGAGTGTACTGAGATGTGGAATTTTAAATTTATCAGAATAAATGAAATAAACTCCTGAGGCAAATTAAAGTTCAAAATAAAGTATCTGGTAGTTGAGTTTCCTGTTTCAAAATAAAGTCTCTTTCCCCTGGCTTAAATAAGGCATTTCAATAAGAAATTTCTTGAAAAATCCATCCATGTTCTGTTCACCCTTGTCCCTACTGGGGTCGGGTGGGGTGCTGGTGCCCATCTCCAGCGAACGTTTCTGGCGAGAGGCGGGGTCACCGTGGACAGGTTGCCAGTCTGTGACAGTGCAACACAGAGACAGACAGGACAAACTGCCATGCACACACACACATCCAGGGAGAATTTGGAGAGGTCAATGTTTTTGGACTGTGGGAGGAAGCTGGAGAGAACCCACCATGCACAGGGAGAACATGCAAACTCCATGCAGAAAGACCGCAGGCCGGGAATCAAACCCAGGACCTTATTGCTGCAAGGCAACAGTGCTGTGCAGGCTTATTGAAAAATCAATTTTAATCAATTAGTTAACTATATGCATGTTGTATATTATCATATTCATTGTTTCCATGAGAAGTTGAAACTCTTGTGGCTGCATTAAACTATGCTAAAAAAAATTGTGTTAAAAATTGGATGTGTTTGATGGTGTGTGTGTGTGTGAGAGAGGGAGAGAGAGATAGAGAAGGCATGCGACCTAATCATTTGGGTGATATAAAATATGTGGGATTTTTTTTCTGCACCTACAGTGGTTGTCTTGTAGGTGGCACTATATTAAGTCCTAGTAAAGTTGCTCATATGCAAATAAACTATCATCAGCTTCACACATAGAAAACAGCTTCCGTGTAGCTGTCCACTGTAGTGGCCACTATGTATGAAAGGTCAAAATCGATCTGGACACTGAGGGGTTAAAACTAGCAACCAATCGCCACGTAAAGTTAGGTAGTTTCGTAAAGACGACCGGAAACATTGCTTCAAAGCAAAAGCTTTTCACAAGTCTTCTACAGCCCATATTGTCTCTTTAGTGCTTTATTTTCCTACAACCGTTGCTGCTAATTCGGTTTCGATACTTTGTTTTGAAACAACGTGTTTTAGAAGCTCCAATCGATTCTCTGACACGGGAGCGTGTGCTGCGGCTTTTATTTTGAAGTGTAGCGCCGAATTTCCTGTCAGCGTTGAGCTGCTGCAGTGTGAGCACTCAGCCGCAACATCAGCCCAGTGCTGCCGCTGCGGTGAGATCCTGCTCCGGGGAGCTAGCAGCGCTGACGGCGCACTCTGGATCCACCTGCCGCTGGATGAAGCTGCTTCCTTGGGCTCCTCGATCTGAAGGCCCGCTGGTAGATGAATGGATAGCTAACCCGGTGGAGGGTGGTGACCTGCCCTTCGCTGCCTCTCTGCGGTCTTATCGCGGGCAGACGTGGACTGGGTGAGGAACGGAATGGTGAATTAAAATTATTTTTGACTGATCTAGTTTTCCACTCGTCTATGGGCTGATTTTACTTTTTTGTTTGTTTGTTTGTTTGTTTGTTATTGGTGGTGGAAGCTGAACTACATGTCTGATCGGAGCGGGAGGAGAATGCAGCGCGGCGGGTGTGTGACTGCAGGTGGATGGCCAACCTGACCGTCTCAGCCGCCGTCCCTCCCTCCAGATCGGCTGGCAGCAGCCGCCGCCTCGGCGCTGGCTTCACACGGATCAGTGAAAAGGACGAAAATAACACAGACTTGAATCGGAGTAAAATAAACAGTTAAAGTCGGAGCCATGCTTCCAGGGGTCGGGGTGTTCGGCACCAGCCTGACCGCCCGGGTGATCATCCCGCTGCTGAAGAACGAAGGCTTCGCCGTGAAGGCGCTGTGGGGCCGGACGCAGGAGGAGGCGGAGGAGCTGGCCAAGGAGATGAACGTGCCCTTCTACACCAACCGGATCGACGACGTGCTGCTGCATCAGGACGTGGATCTGGTGTGCATCAACCTGCCGCCGCCTCTGACGCGGCAGATCGCTGTCAAAACGCTGGGTGAGTCCCGCTGTTGGATGCTGCGGCCCTGCTGCAGCTCCCAGCATCTTTGTTTGTGTTTGTCTCTGCTTCAGTCAAACATCAGATGTGACTTTGTGTTAATGAAAGTCATACCTGGACTCCTTCCAGCAGAAGCACATACACACACACACGCACACACACACACGGCCCTCAGAGGGAGGCTGATCTAGTTAAAATGTGGAGCAGTGCAGCTTATTCTGGAGATCACATTCACCGTGATGAATGAACGGTGGCGGCGTCCCTGCAGCCGCTCTGCACACACAGGCTTTATTCACCGCTGCAGCCTGGCAGCAGAGCTCAGCTGGAAGCTCCGATAGGTCAGCTCTGTGACTGGAAACATTGAAGTTCTCTGCTGCTGCACACCTACAGCAAGAAGCGGAGAACAGGAAGTGACATCGCAGCATCAGTGCTCACTAACAGAGGCCACAAGTCTTCCTGTCTCTCACTTAGCTGCTGATTAGTTTTGACTTCAGCAGATGTCAGGTCTTTCTCTGTTTTAATGACTGTATGGTCATTTGAAAGAGATTAGTCTAGCGGTGCACCGATTGCAGTTTTCTGGCCGAAAAAAGACGGACTTGCCGATTCTGATTTTGGCCGATACCAATTTTTTCTTTCTTGTCTGAAAATTTGCTAAATATACAAAGTGGCTAATTTGGCAACAGTGGTTGATTGTTAACTGCACATGTGCAGATGTAACGACTGTCGGTTTAGCCACCCAACCATCTAGGCCTTGATAGGAAAGGTTTCATGACAGGATCTGGAGTGTGTGTATGTGTGTATGGCAGCAGAAAGACCAGTGTCACCCTGGTCATCTTTGTGTCAGATTGTGTCACAGATGAGCCGTATCCGATAGATATGCATCCCGGCTCGGCCCGGCCTGCATGCCATTCTTCTGCTCTTTCCTCTCGGCTCGTTTCCTCATGGCTTCATTGTGTGAGCGCCGCCTGTTCCTTCCCACCCTCCCCTCTTCCTCATCAACCAGCCCAGGCCTGGTCCAGTTCTGCTTGCTTTCTGCTGGGCCGACCAGTACGAACCACAGTTTGGTCCTTTGGGCCAAGAAATGCTTTTTGAAGCGAAACCTGTAATAACCGGGTTAGAGTAAAAGCTGGCAGTGATGGCCTCGTGCTCCGGCTCTGACATGGAATCCATCTGGATCGCTGTCAGCTGACCGCTGGAACATCAGCAGCAGCCTCTCGGATCAGCACGCTTGTCGTTTTCTGACTTCCTGCCCCCAGCAGGGTGTGAGACGAGAGGCTGGCTTTCATAAACATCATCAGGCTTCCTAATCAGAGAAATGTGACCTTGGATCAGAAGCTTGATTAGCCTATTAGCTTGTGTTCATGCCCAGCAGAGCTACCAGGATGTTTACTCTGGTCTGCGCTGGTTTCACCCACAGATCCTTCAGATTTTGTCACTTTACGACTATCTGCCGCAATAAGCAATAAATCGATTAATCGGATGATAAATTAAAACAAAATCAGTCATTTTTATAATGATTTATCGTTTCTCTCTAACAACTAGATGATAAAAGTCTTCAGTCTGGTGCTTTGGTCTTAACTAGCGCTTGTTTTGAAGGACAGTTTTGTTTACAGAGACTTCATAATTCATTTTATTTGTTTTTCTTATCTATTTATTTTGGATATTTAAAATATCTTCCAGTTCCAGTGTTAAATGTTCCTTGGAATTTAAATCTTATTGATATTTGAGAATGTGCTCTTGCATTATTATGCCATGATTACCATTCTATTAGTTGAAAATGGTATCAAAACAATAATAGTATTGATTATCGCAATAACTTATGGGCAGGGGTAAAAGTAGGGGGGAACGGTCGGGTACTGCGTACCCCTAAAAGATTTAGCAGGGGGACGCAGTACCTGAAAGAGAGGGGAGCGGCTGTCAGCTGTAAAAAATCAGTGGGTTCACTGTGCAGCCGTGAGTTCACCCACTAATCAGCCGTGACTGATTAGTTTTTCAAGAACAATCCAAAACGCGACTTAATCAGTTAATAAATAGCTCCCCCTCCCCATTTCATATTGTTTCTGAACTGTTCCTTGTTAGAGTAGGGGTGCGATACGTCGATCGCGGAAGGTTTTGAGTCGATCTCGGCATTAGGTGACAAACTGAACGCCACCAGGAGGCTGAGACCAGCACGTCCTCCTCTGCTCCTTATCAAAACGTTCATAACTTTATTAAAGAACAACAAAAAGTCAACAAAACATTTTCAAATTAATGACCCAACAAAAATAATAATCTCAGTAATTATTGTTTCAATAAGGTGTTGCGCAATTCTGTGCATTTCGGTTCCATTACCAAAATAACTACCAGAGCAGGAGTTTAAAATTAACTAATCAACCACCACTGTGTTCAGGGAGCGCTTATTAATAATCGTAAAATAAATATCAAGCCTGAAAACCTGGTATCGTAACGGACTGAATGTTTTAAACGTAATCTGTGCTCGACTCGAGGAGCGAGCGGTTGCCACGGCAACGGGAGTGCTTAAACGGCAAAGAGAGAAAGAGTAAAAAGGTGCGAGTGGTTTTGAGTTGGTTATCTGTTCGGGTTGTTTTACCTTCACTGTGGCTCATCACAGCCGCTGTAGTTTCTGAACGTTCAATAAACGACAAACTTGGACTAATTATCTCGTTCGTCTGTTACTATACGTCATTCACAACAAACATCAAACACGGTAAATATGTTTCATTAAGTATTTAACAAACAAATGGCTTCTACAATTATGTGAAATTAAATTAATTGTCTAATTAAAAAAACAGTTTTATTGCTCTCTGGCATCTCGCTTTGAGCTCAGAGTCTGAGAGGCTTTTCCTCTATCAAACTATTTTTTTTTTTGCCTCTTATTTAGTGGAAATATTGATGTTGATGAGATTTTCTCCAAAATAATAACCTTTTTCAACCTTTATAGCTCCACTGTTGAAAATGAGGCTCTAATAGCCACAAATGACGGTGAAATAAAATCCAGTCCAACATCTGGTTTGAGGTGATTCCTCTGGAACCTGTTGGAGGAAAAACATCCCAACTCCAGAAGATGAGCTTTAACCTAACAGAGCTCTGTGGTTCCTCCTATCAGAATGAGAGTCAGGGTGAGGAGGCGCCATGTTGGGAAGAGAAGTGGAAGCTGCAGGATCTTCAGAACAAACAGGTTATGATGCTGAGCCACTGATTATCCCTCTGTCTGGACACAGGATCAATATAACTAGTTTAAAAGCTAAAATGAATGGTTATATGCCAGACATGGAAAACTGGGATGCACTCCATGCCATGATGTTCAGAATGTAGGTCTCATGGCATCTCAACATTTCAACATTACAACCAGTGGGCTGAGGGAAATACAGCTTTATTTTGCAAGTATTAAGTATACTACCTATAAATATATCTGAAGTATACTAAAAATATGCTTGTACCAATTTCAAAATTAT